ATCAATTAATTCACAATTTTTGTGACATTATAACTATCTACTTATGATAGATAAGCTCAATAATAAAATATAGTCCACAAAATTAAAAGAAAGTATAATATATTATAATTATTATATATTATATAATAATATTATATATTAATTATTATATTATAATTATAAAATTAAAGAAACAAGAATGAATATATTATTATTATACATGCAAATTTGGGGCTACATATCAGAATGTTTTAAGAAATATCATAATTTTAAATAATATTATAAAATGTAATAATAACAAAATAAATCATTTAATTTTCTACAAATGATATATCAATGATAAAAATAATATCACATATGATTCAATGTACTACCATATCAAGATGCCACAGTCAGTAAAAATAATTCTTATAAATATTTTGATGTTTGCAATTGCAAAGGGTTAATAGTTATGAAACATTTTTAAAGAATTGATTTTAGAAATGAAAATAAGTTATAAAAAAATATTGGTTAAATTATTTGTTAAATTATAATTGAAGTTTGTATTAAATGAACCGAGACAGAAAAAGAATGAATTTGTTTTGTCTTCATTATATTGCTATCGCACTCTATTCTTCGTTTTATCTAACATAAACTTAAATTGTTTATAAATTAATAAATAAACTTCAATCAATATTTTTTAAATCTTTGAAATTTATATTACCCATATTCCACAAATCTTGTAATTTATAAACATGGCTTCAGATAATTGATACAAAGATAAAATCATTTACATGACACCACATATGCAAAATAATTATGGAAGTTTTTATTTTTAAAGTAATATATAAATATTTATAAAATGTAATTTAATTATTATCAAGTTTGAAATATATTTTATTTTATTATTTATTAATTTCTACTTTATTCTTATAATTTTAAATAGTAATGATTATAATATACATATATTTTGGAAATTATAATTTTGAAAAAACTGAGAGATTTATAATTTAATCTGTAATTATTTTCTTATAATTTATTTTAATATAAAAAGATAACAAAAACAAAATAATATCTAAAAAAAAATTATTTATTTATAATTATTGATTGTAAAATAAAATACTTTTAGAACATTTTTTTCTTATGTAGAATAAGATATAGAAAATATTAAGAAATATATCTCTAATATATTTATGTTTTCTTAAATAAAAATAAATGTAAAATTTTTTAATTCGGCTAGATGAAGTGTAATAAAAAAATTCGAGCAATTTAATTTATTATGAAAAAAATATTTTTTGTAATGTTAATAAATATGTTTCTAATTTGAGCTAATTTTTAACTATATTGATTTTATAAATAAGATATCAATAATAGATAAGATATCTGAATTGAATAATTTAGACTTTGTACTTGGCAATCTGATGCATGAGATTAAATCATTATAATTCTTCATTTATTGTTGCTTATTAATATGAATTTTTAGTAAAAAGTAATACTAATTACTTTGATTATCTGATATGATTATCTTATTCTGTTCTCAAAAGATCATGAAACCATAAAAAAACAATATTTTCAATTTCATTAAACTATCGAAAAAATAAAAAAAAAATTGCTAAATATATCAAAATATAACTTCCTCATTCTAAAATTTTGTTAATGAAATTGATATAGCTTAAAAATTGGCAAATATTACAAAAAATTGCATCACAAAAAAGAATTTTTCTTAATTGAATATTTCTATACGAGAAATGAAATGTATAAAAGTTTTAATCACATTTCATATAAATTTATATTGCATCATTTGTTTAAATAAAATCTTAGATCTAGATAAATTATGTTAAAATAAGAGAAAAACAAAAAAAGTAATAATTAATATATATAACTTAAATATTTAAATTAATAATAAAAGATTTATATTAATAATAATTAGTAAGACATGCAAACATAACAATTTCTTATAATAAATGTTATAATAAATAATATAATATAATAAATTTGTTATAATAAATAAGATTTCATTAAAATTTTTTTTATATTTATCATTAAAATTTATACATACCAAAAATATTACAGAAATATTTTCAGTAATCATATGTTTATTTCTCAAATCATCCACTAAAAAATAAAAATCTTTAATTTTTTATATAAGCTTTCTATTTTTCTGTTGTAATGTTTTTTTTTTTTGCTATTGTTGTTGTAATAATCTTGTATATATAATCTTTTTTCTCGTTTATCAGATCACATTCTTTAAAATCACCAATATAAACTTTTCATTTCTTTCTTAAGGATTCTTTTCTCTAAAGATTTCTTAAATATCATATTTTTTTATCAGTACTAACAATATATATATATATATATTATTTTCAGATTCATCATTTTTTAAATTAAAAATAAATTAGTAGAATTATATAAATTTAAAATAATAGAAATTAAATTTAAATATTGATTATAAAGTTATATCCTGCACTTTTATTTTTTGTTTCATTCTGTGAAATATTAAATATATCTATCTATTGCATATGTTTCAAGTGCATATATATTTGCATTCAAGTGCATAATATATTTGATATAGCTCTTAGTAATCATTTTGAACTCTAAGAATTTTTAACAGAACAATCAATTGTAAAATGTTTTGAACATACTCTTAAATGAGATGAATACTCAAAATTATATTTTATTTTATTATTTATTGTTTTATCCATTGTTTTTCTGTTTTAATTAATGGATTTTTTTGGAAATCTGTAAATAAATTCTTTTAGAACTTAAAAAAAATTTAATTTCATTTATACATTAAATTTTATTATATTTATATTATATTTTTATTATATTTATACTTATAGGTTATATGACATTATATTTATTAAATATTAAAAGTAACAAAATACTTACTGATGAAAAGATTTATTTGTACGTTTTGTCTTTGCAATTCATTCATGTTTACATCATTATTAATAATTGTTTAAAAATTATTCATAAATAAATAT